TTGCGAACCGAGCGTAGGTGTTCTGCAAAGCGGTCCCCGAGTCTCCGCTTGGTTTCCCCGATGTAGAGGAAGCCACACCGGGTACAGCGGATGCAGTATACCACATTGGCAGATGTGCAGGTGAACATCTGCTTGATGTGGAAAGTCTTCTTGGGGCCTGGGATGGGGGTGAGGGAGGAGGTATGGGGGCAGGTGTAGCACTTCCTGCGGTTGCAGGGAAAAGTGCCGGGTGTGGTGGAGCTGGAGGGGAGTGTGGAGCGGACAAGGGAGTCACGGAGAGAGTTGTCCCTCCGGAAAGCAGATAAAGGTGGGGAGGGAAAGATGTCTTTGGTGGTGGGGTCGGATTGCAGATGGCGGAAGTGTCGGAGGATGATGCGTTGGATCCGGAGGTTGGTGGGGTGGTACGTGAGGACGAGGGGGATTCTTTTTTGGTTTTTATTGCGTGGACGGGGTGTGAGGGATGAGGTGCGGGAGATGTGGGAGACACGGTTGAGGGCGTTCTCGACCACCGAGGAGGGGAAGTTACGGTCCTTGAAAAACGAGGACAACTGAGATGTACGGGAGTGGAATGCCTCATCCTGGGAGCAGATGCGGCGGAGGCGAAGGAATTGGGAATAGGGGATAGCATTTTTGCAGGAAGGTGGGTGGGAGGAGGAGTATTCTAGGTAGCTGTGGGAGTCGGTGGGCTTGAAATGAATATCGGTTTCTAGGTGGTTGCCCGATATGGAGACAGAGAGGTCCAGGAAGGGGAGAGAGGTGTTAGAGATGGTCCAGGTAAACGTAAGGTTGGGGTGGAAGGCGTTAGTGAAGTGTATGAACTGTTCGAGCTCCTCGTGGGAGCACGAGGCGGCACCGATACAGTCATCAATGTAACGGAGGAAGAGGTGGGGTTTAGGGCCGGTGTAGGTACGGAAGAGGGATTGTTCCACGTAACCTACAAAGAGGCAGGCGTAGCTTGGGCCCATGCGGGTACCCATGGCTACCCCCTTTGTCTGTAGGAAGTGGGAGGAATTGAAAGAGAAGTTGTTGAGTGTGAGGACGAGTTCGGCTAAGCGGATGAGGGTATCAGTGGAGGGGGACTGGTCGGGCCTGCGGGACAGGAGGGTCCATTGTGAGGAGAGAGAGAGAATTCTAAATTGACAAGTGGACAGATTTTCCTTACTAATGTAAAAAAGCAATAAAATGCAGAATTTGGTAGTCGTCAATAAAATTAGGTTTGAAGGTGTTTTAGAAGTGCTTGCATTTTTTAGCACCTTTCACAGCCTCAGGGTATCCCTAAGTGCTTTAATGCTTTTGAAGTGCAATGTCTCTCAAAAAACAATGTGATAATGGCCAATTAATCTGTGTTAGTGCTGTAGGTGGTTGAGGGATAAATATTTGTGAGGATCCAGGGAGAAGTAGTCTTCACTTCAAAACCATGCAGTGTTAATTTTTAGAGATAGTAGGAACTGCAGATGCTGGAGAATCTAAGATAACAAGGTGTAGAGCTGGATGAACACAGCAGGTCAAGCAGCATCAGAGGAGCAGGAAGGCTGACGTTTTGGGCCTAGACCCTTCTTCAGACCCTAGACCCTTCCTGTTCCTCTGATGCTGCTTGGCCTGCTGTGAGCCTTCCTGTTCCTCTGATGCTGCTTGGCCTGTTGTGAGCCTTCCTGCTCCTCTGATGCTGCCTGGCCTGCTGTGTTCATCCAGCTCTACACCTTGTTATCTCAGATTCTCCAGCATCTGCAGTTCCTACTATCTCTGAAACAATTTTAACCCCACTGCGAAGCGATTTTCTGAAGAAGGGTCTAGGCCCGAAACATTAGCCTTCCTGCTCCTCTGATGCTGCTTGGCCTGCTGTGTTCATCCAGCTCTACACCTTGTTATCTCCAATGTTAATTTTGACATCCATCTGAGAGGGCAGACAGGTTGAACATTTCAATTAACCCATCTCAACCGAAGAATAAGGGTATGTGTACATATAAAACATACATGTTAGTTAGTTAGTAATTGTGAGACTTGACTGGTCTTCATATAGCTTTTATTTACATGTGTTTCAGGGACACGGGAATCATCCTTTGTATATGCGCTCTCTTCTGCTGCACTAAGTCATTCCATTGCTCGATTCTGTGCCTCTGGCGAGTTGCCAACCTGTTCCTGTGGTCTCAGCCCAGCCGAGGTTCCTGGGCCTGACTTCAGGTGGGGCGGTTGTGGGGACAATCTTCGCTATGGGCTGCAGCTTGGCTCTGTTTTTGCAGATGCACCAATGAAAGGCAACAGAGCTGGAACACAGGCAAACAGACTGATGAATAAGCACAACAATGATGTTGGCAGACAGGTAAATGGCTAGTAAGGCTAAAACCACATTTTTATTTTCTGCATCATATTGTTCAGCTATATTGCACCTCAAAAAAGATTGTGCTAATATCCATGGTGAGTTATCAATTCTAAATGACAGCAAGTGTAAACAAGCATTACTTCAGCACCTTGTTTCAAATTGGTGTCAATTTGCTCCTCACAGTCAAATTCATTAGCTTATTGGAACAACAAATTATGACATTGGACCAATTTAATTCTCATGCAAAGCTGCAGGTGATTTCTTCTATCTACACCTTATAACTATAACAATTCCATTCAATTTGTAGCTAAGGAGCAGTGGGATGAGGCTCTTTATTTATCAATTAATTACCTGAGGGTGGGTAGGCTGCCAATGCCTCCCCAAAAACATTCAGACAGATTGGGCAGCCAGGGAGTCAGTGAGCATGCATACCAGCTTTCACAGGTCAGGGAGTGCAAAACCTAGCTCATGAAATTTCTTATAAACAAGAAATTTGACATTGAAGAAATATAAACACTCTTTCAGGACCAGTGAGGCTGTTTATTAGTACTTACGAACTTAGTATGCCAACAAAACAGTCCCACTTTCTTTCAATATGGTGTAATTTTTTTCAAGTTGTTTTACGTGAGAGTAAGTTGAAGTTCTTGTCAGTTCAGTAATTTCTAATGGATTGCAGTACAGTGTGTCCTTTGAAGAGATGTAGAATCATTGACAGCTATTTCTGGATTCTCACATTTAACTCCACATGAATGGACTCCAGGAATTACTGTTAGTTGTAGAGCAGTAATGACAATCGGCACCTTTAAGTGGAGGTGGAATAGAAAAATTGGATACTTACTGGAAGAAGTTTAGGAGACTGTAATGGCATGTAGGGTGAGGTAATAGTGCGTAAGAAAGGTATAGAGTGTGGACTTATTTGAAGAATACAACAAGACTGGTTCAATGCACCCAGAGATGAGAGCCAATAGAGTTTGATGAGAACAGGATTAGAAGGGGAGGGGGATTTGAGGAAACACATGATGTGAGCGGTAAAGGTTTTGATGAGTTGAAAAGCAACAAGGAGAGCACTATAGTGATGGAAATAGGTCAGACTCAAGTACTAATTGTGTAGACAAGACGTCCAACACATCCACAAGAGTTTACTGTATAATGCAACAACTGCACCCGTAACCATATATGAGTACACAGGACAATACTGCCTATTGAGTATAATGGAACAGTTCCATTTCCAGAACGTATACAATGAAACCAGAGTATCTGCACTCTGGTAGCCCCACTTCTGAAATCAGAACTCGAATGCATAAGACCATAAGCTCTAGGAGTAGAAATAGCCCATTCAGCCTATTGAATCTGCTCTGCCATTCAATGAGATCATTGCCAATCTGATAATCCTCAATTTCACTTTGCTGTCTTTTCCCTACAATCCTTGATTCCCTTGCTGATTAAAAATTTCTCTCTCACTATTACACTTCATGATCCAGCCTCAACAACCCTCTGTGCTAAAGAATTCCATAGATTCACTACCCTCTGAAAGAAGAAATTCCTCTTCATCTCTGTCTCACATGTCCAACCTCCTATTCTGAAATTATTCCCTCTGGTCCTAGATTCTTCTGTATTCAACTGATTAAAGGCCCAATCTACTCAACCTCTTCTCGTAGTCTCTCCATATCTGGGGTCAACCTAGTCAACCTTCTCTGGACTGCCTCCAATGTCAGTATATCTTTCCTCAGGTAAAGGGTACAAAACTATTCACAGTATTCCAGCTGTGGTTTGATTGGTGTCTCATATAGTTTTAGCAAAACCTCCCGATGCATTCTAAATTGCTAAGGACTAGTCCTTTCATGGGGGAAGCACCTTACAGGATGTTAGGAAGCACATTCAGAAATCATAGCATATGGACATCTATGGAACTTTCCTTAATCCAAAAGAAATGATTGACAGAGATTGCTGAGCATAACTCTTGTTATATCGGGGAATAAGGTGCTGTACAAAGATCAAATTTTGAATATGGTGGAACTGTAGAGAATTGTCATCAATGGCGTACTATCTCTTAAAATATTTTAAATTCTAAAACCTGAAATGGTCACACTTAACCTTTAAAATATTACTAATTTAAAAACATAACCTCACTCATGTTTAAAGTGTTTTTAAATTTACAAATATGAAATTGTGCCTTTGTTTTGAAAGCATTCAATCAAAAGTCTAAATTGCAGCAATTTATATATTTGAGTACAGCAATAATTAGGTTCGTATTCTGAAAAGATGAAATCAATACAATTAAAAGATTTTCTTTATCTGAACACTGATTCAAATTTACTCATGATTTACTGGATGATTTGGAGTAGGCTGATTAATAATTTCATTCTTGTGATCTAATCTGAAATATGAAATACTCTGTGGCCCAAAGATTGCTTTGTCCTTTAGAGTAATGAAGGAGTATGGAAAGGGAATGTTTGGACCTCAGTTGAAAGCTAAATAGTGGCTTAAAGAATGGATGGATGTGATTTGTAATGACCAAGAAAATTTATGTAGAATTTGTTGCGGAAAATGAAACAGGCAAAGTACTAGATGCTAGGAGACACGTGCATATCTAAGTCACTTTTCTTATTCCGTACTTCAGTAACTTCTGAGTATCGGGACCATTTTGTATTATGTGCAAGCAAAGAATTGCACCTTGACTTATCCTTGTTCATACATATTTTCTCTTACCAGACATTGATTGATTCATTGGAAACTAAATGCAAGTGTCATGGTGTTTCTGGTTCTTGTTCTGTAAAGACCTGCTGGAAGGGGTTACAGGAACTAAATAAGATTGCTGTTAACCTTAAGTCAAAATACCTGGCAGCCACTAGAGTGATTCACCGTTATGTTGGCACAAGGAAACAACTTGTGCCTAAAGAGCTCGACATACGACCAGTTCGGGAGAATGAACTGATTTACCTGGTGGCATCACCCGACTACTGCACAACAAGTGAAAAACAAGGCTCCTACGGTACTCATGAGAGGTAAGGGGCTGAACCAGCTGTGGTTCTGACATTATCTTCATTTTCCGTCTTTCTTCACTATCAGTTATTCCGGATGTGATAGATTTATTTATCTCCTGGCTAAAATGGGATTCAGTTACCCGCTGTGCCGTTCTAAAAGTGCTGCCGAATGATACTTTTCATGATGAATTTGGACAGTGATAATCAGCATTTTACCAGCTAATCCATTTTGGGGAAAAGTTTCACTACATCTTGTCTCCCGTCTGAAGGTCACAATCTTCTACCAAATGCACTGGATCAGTAATTTGACTGTTACTTTTTTCTGCAGTTAGAATAGAACTTGGAATCTCTACTGATGTGAGATCCTGACAGCCATCATAAGGATTGTAAAACATTTATAGAGAACGATAGTGTAACCTTGGTCTTAAAAATTTGGCATTGAATATTAGGACAGTAGGCAGCTGTCTCTTGTTGCTTTTCCTTCACAAAGAGTTAATAACGCTCTGAAATCTCTTAAAACCATGGGAATCGCAAAGAAAAACATGAAAAGAAACAAAATCACAGAAAACAATAGGGAAGGAAGGGATCAAACTATATTAATAAATCAACCCGGATTTTTGACAACGTTTATGTAAAACACATGAATAGCAATTTGTCCAATGTAGACTGTATGTGTCAAAGGTAAGTCTACATACTTGGATCACCACGAGCACAAAACCTCAACCACTCTTTGCCGTGATAGGTAAGGACCACAGAGACTAATTGCAGTGTTTTGTCCAAAACAGCACAGACCTAGCATTTGTCAGGTGATATGCCTTTTTTTATAGAGGTTTTTCGGTCCTTTTTTTAGTTGTTTGAAATTATTAACTGATCTTCCTTCATTTGCTTCTCTGCAGACCGTGCAACAAGACTTCTGTGGGCAGTGATAGCTGTAACCTGATGTGCTGTGGTCGGGGTTACAACGCATATACGGAAACAATTATAGAGAGATGTAGTTGCAAATATCATTGGTGTTGTTACGTAACCTGCAAAAAATGTGAAAGGACAGCAGAACGGTATGTGTGTAAGTAACTGCGAAGGACCTTGCTGTATTAAATAGTAGTAGACTTAATTAAACAGTATCTGAGAACATAAACCATAGGGAGGGTTAAAAACCTGGAAATGGATTGCCAAGACCATGACCAAAAATTCCTTGGATACTACTGGCAAAACGAGTGGAGTGAACCTCGATATTGAGAGAAAAACAACAGATAAAAGGCAAAATTGAAACCCCCCCCCAGAGTGAATGGACGAGTTATACAAAAACAATGGCAAGTGGACACATTTCCATTTATCAGAAAGATTCCTTTGTTCCTTTGCTATGTTTAGTGGCCTAAAGGACAGCTGATATGTTCAGCAGGATAGCAGGATGAATGCCAGTAATTTGAAGGAAGAGAATGGCATTCAGTTAGAGGACAGAGCTGTGATCAATAGTGATCAATTGTTGAAGAGAAAGATAGTGAAGGACAAAATGAAAATAAGGTGCTGCTCAATCTGGGAAGCACTGAACAGGGCACACTTTACAGTGTTGAGGGAGCAAATATGACCTTGGAGGAACGTCTGTTCTGATTCCTTAACATTGAAATGCTGTAAGTACGGTGCAGCAGAACATGTTATCAAGCAATACAACAAAGACATTCCACCTCGTTTGGAGTGTTACCTTAAACCCTAAATATGATGATAACATTCTGTGTGCTGGAACTTATTACAATGTGCAATAAAGGTGCCATCCTACCACTGACAGTTATAATTTCATCAGGAATCCTAGTAGAAGTTTCAATGTTGCCAAGTATGTGGCAGTTCTTATTTATGGACAATTTTGTTGGGGGTGGGAGTGGATGAGGTGGCATAAGGAGATAGCTGGCTAAATTTATTACTTTTTCACATAGGCTGGCGAATCAAGTTTGGTGAGCACAGGTTCTAGTTACATGAACAGGGAAAGCTGGCAACTCTCACATTCATAATTTTGTAGCAACCAGCTAGTACCTCAACTTGTGTGCTTTTGTTATTTAGTGTTTTGTTTTATGTCTGCTTATTATTTATTTTCTTAAATAAAACACTTATACTGGTCTGAAATTTTGTGACAAGTTATTTTGGAGGATATGGGAATGAAATTATGCATTGTTAATGTCTAAAAAGCCTCCCCCCACAACCCCGTTTAACTTTGCTAACTACGTCAAAGCTATCGCCAACAATGAAACTTCTCACATTCACAGTTTCACTTTTTGTGGCTAATTCCTTTATCCTGCAACTGTCCTGAAGCAGAAGGACAGAATTTAATCCAGTCTGTGTGGGAGTGGTCCAGGAATTTGGGGTGGGAAGCTAGAGATGTGGTGTGGGGGAACCATAGAATCATGATGGAAGGTACCAGATAGAAGCCCATCACCTTCTCAATAGTGCCATCACCAGACAATTAAATCAGGCCAGGGAAGTTTAAAGGTGGCCTTCTTTTCTAGAAGCCAACTGAGTCTCTCAAGTGGTTGATAGAATACCATTGGTGAGGAGGCTGTAATCTTCTAAGTTTACGCCTTGTTCATATGGTGCCATCCCAACAGCAAATGCTGGCTCCTCAGAAAGACTGCCTCCTTTCAATAATGTCCGCTGACCACAGCCAACCCCCCCCACCCCACCCCTGTCAAACCTGCTGGCCCCAGCAAGCCCAACCCACATCTTACCTGAGTTCCATGGCTACCTTTGGTCATTGTCCTTGGCAAGATGCAGTACCAACAGTGGTCCCTGCTCCCATTGGCACTGCTGGTACTGTAAAGCTGTGGCCCTCTGGCCAAAAGCTCTTGGATTTGAGACCTTTATTCTTAAAGGAACAGCAGCCACAATGCTATGAGGCTGTTAATTCTTGCTGTCTATTCAGTTATATCAAGGCTTCCAGAAATGGCCTTGGAGTGATTTTCCTCAGTTTTTCAGCCCACAGTCAGATCCACTGTCACTACCATTAAATTGCAAGTGTCAGTGCCTTTTACACATTGCCAGTGATCTTTTCAGAATAACTCTCATTTGTTCTTCCGGCACCTTCAGTGACTTTCATAACATCAATGCTCTTGTCTGAGTCAGGTGCACTGATGTGATGTGGGTGTAAAGGAATGTGACAAATTAGCTTCATGTCTCCTACATTATAACAGTGGGTTAACTTGGACTTTTTCTTATTTAAACAGATAGTATAAAGAAAAGAAACCTGTAAAAAGAAAATGGAGGAAATAGACAGCAGGTACAGCAGCATTTGCAAGATCCTTCTTAATGAATGCTGTATTCTGAACCCTAACCTCTATTTTCTTCAAAGAATTATTTGAAGAGTATGTTGGGAGAAATATATTGACCTCTTTGTTCATTACAATCTATAAAGGCAATAGCAGAAGCTCCTGGTAAAATAGTGCAATTCTTCAGATGATCTGTCCATCTTTGCGTTAAAAATATTCGCAGATATGGCTTTTGCCACACTTTCAGGAAAAAGTTTCAAAGACTCAAAACTCTGAGAAAATTGCCTCGTGTGCAATCCCAGATTTTTAAACGTTGACCTCCCAGTTTCAGATTCACCCATAAAAGGAGACATCCTCTCCATATCTGCTCTAGCATTGTCCTTCAGGATTTTATGCTTTAATTAAGTCATCTCCTACTCTTGTAAACTCCAGTGGATTCATGCCCAGTTTGTCCAGCTTTTCCACATGAGAAAACCTGCCCATTCCAGGTATTAGTCTGGTAAACCTTCTCTGAACTACCTCCAATGCAATTGCATCCTTCCAGAAATAAGGAGATGAATGACTGATACTATGCACAGTACTCCAAATGTAGTCTCGCCAGTGTCCTGAAGAACTCATGCATGACCTCCCTTCTCTTGTATTCAATTCCCCTTCAGATAAATGATTAAATGATAACATTCTATTAGCTTTCCTAATTGCTTGCTGCAACTGCATATTAACCTATGATTATTACAAGAGGATACCCAGATCCCTCTGTATTTCAGAGCTCTGCAATCTCACACCATTTTGATACTATGCTTCTTTGTTATTCTTCTTTCCAAATGGACACTTTCTTACACTATACTCCATTTGCTACATCGTTGACCACTCACTTGAACCTATCAATATTTTTTGTAAACCCATCTTTAAAGCATCAGTAAATTTGGCAACCATACCACCCATCCACCTCTTTATTTAAGCAATTTATCAAAGTTATAAACAATGGAAGTCGCAGCTGATTTGAGCTGATTTTCATCTAGGTGCTACAGTCTCAGTGTCATTTAGGTCAGAAATGGAGAAATCAGGCAGGGTTTCTGTTGTTGAAACTGCAGTGACTCCTGCTGGAGAATACAAAGCAGTGGGAGCTGGACAAGGACTGTAAATGCCAACACTCACAGAATACTCCATGACAATAACAACTTTTATAATGAAAGACCAGCATTTACAATCACCTTTCATGACTACCAGACATGTCAAAGCAGCTTCATGGCTAATAAGTATTTTTCTGTAATGTGGCCACTGTTGTAGGAAGTACAACTAAACTACTTCGCTATACACACAGTAAGGTCCCACAAGCAGCATACACACAGTAAGGTCCCACGAGCAGCAATGTGATAAGGATGATCAGATTTTGTGATTTTTGATGGTAAATACTGATCAGGACAGAGAGAATAAGCCCCCTGCTGTTCTTCAGATTAGTACCAGGGCAGCCTTAACATCCCCCTGAGAGGGGTAGATTCAGTTTGACATTTCATCTGAAAGACAGCACATCTGAAAGTGCAGCATTCCCTCAGTAATGTATTAAGAGTGTCAGCCTAGATTTTACGCTTAAGTCTGGAGACATTAAAATCCTACAAAATATCTTCACATGTAGTAAAACAAACCTAGAGTCTTCAGTGGAGCATAATTCAAAACAAAATTTGACGCCAAGGCCCATAAAGAGATATATTAGTAAAAAAAATTCTCAAGACACTAAAAATAAGTCACTTTAACAATTCAATGAGTTGAAGGGGGGAGTGTCAGTGAAAGCTCAGCATGGGGAAAAAAAAACAAGAAAAATATGTTATTTTAAAAAATGACATTCATTAATGACAAACATAACAGCGGACAATTGTTTGAGATTTTAGTTCTTGTTGCAGCACCACCATGTGGAGAATTGAAGAGTCACAGTTCTTAACATTCAAACTGCCTATTATCCAATTTTTGTTGCTTTCTGCACAGAGCTTTTATTTTAAACACTTCCTTTGCATCCAATCTATTGCCCTTCCCTCCTGACGCACTGAGTCAGACTTGCTTTGATTCTATGGATAATTAACAACAATTCGAGCCTTGTGCAGGCTGCCTATTTCCATTCTCTTCACTGGTTCAGCAATGGGTGGGAGAACAGTCAAAAGTAGCAGTGCAGAGCTCAGCACCCCATTCTTGCCAACACCAAAATCCCCTTGTGGGACCTTGACATGGGCAATTCAGGTAGTTGTTGGTGTCAGGTTGAAGAGTCATTAGCCCAAGCAAATTGAGGACCTATTACTTCAATAGGAGCCCATCACAATTGTTTGAAGTAGCAATGGGTGAAGTAGAGACTTCCTGCTCTTCTTACTGCTCCTTGGCGTGGAATGACCTCTCCAAAACTTGTTAAAGGGACTGCCACAGACTTTTATCAGAAAGAATTTAATAACCATGATAACACTGGATATTGGGTACAGCATGTTATGAAGGCATTTATCACTTGTTTGGAAAAAGAGGCTTGGAGGACCTTACTTGAGTTTCCAAAATTAATAATCTGAGGCAGATATATTTTTCGCTACAATGAATGTTTCAAACGCCAAACTGATGGAACTAGAAGTGATAAATTCAACAAGCTTGTCATCAAATTATAAAACGTTGTGGACTGCACCCAAGGAATCAATGAGCTAATTCAACTAGTGATGCCCACACCCCATGATCAAATGAAAAACTTTCTTTGCAAATAATAGTCAAAAAGCGTTGATTTGTCCTGGATGGTGTCAAATTTGCGAATTTAGCAAATACGGCCTGCTCTTATAACTACAAGTATTTATGTGAGCAGTCTGGTTTCTAATCTATCGTAACACTCAAGATATTAATGGTGTGGGATTCCACAGTGGTAATGCCATTGAGTGTCAAGAGAAGGTTTGGCACTAATTTGTTGGAGACTATCATTGCTTGACACTGTTGTGGCACAAATGTTCCCAGTTTTCAACCCAAGCCTAAATGTCAACCTGATCAAACTTCATGCAGCCACAAGCTATTTCATTATCTGACGAGTTGTGAGTGAAACTTAATACTTCAATCAGCATCAAATGGCAAAATATGATTTATTAGTTTCTAAATGCATCATATATTCTTTTGGAGAACGTTGTGCCATGGACACAGTCTACTAATATGTCATGGTCAGTATGTTTACCCACTTGTAGTTCTGTCAGGTGTCCTGTAGTGAAATTACTTGGTTACTGTCTTGATGCCATCTCAGTCAATATCATTTGCTTCCTGACAGTGTTTGTGCACAGGATCTACATTTTGAATTGTGATTGTGAGATCAACGCTGGATTGACTATTGTCCAGATATGGACAATTGTAGACAAATAAACTGACAAGAATTACTTCCGATAGGATAGGCTGTCAAATGAAGAAGTATCTCAACCCCAATAACAACCTGTTGATTCCCTAATGGGAAGGGTGTGCTCGAATCAAACTGGGTTTTGACATCCCAATAATTTAAGCTGCTGACTGTTCATGTGGCCACCCAGGTGAGATTCTGGACTCTTTAACATCTGTAGAAATATATTCATTGAGGCAGAGAAATAACACAGAAAATAAGATTTGTAAACACATTTGCTTCCTCAACTCAGATGCAATTTGCTCTTTCATTTCCTGATTACCCTCTGAATGGAGTATGGTCCCCTAGCTGCTGGCTG